ATTGCTTTTCCATACTACTTTCGGTATATATTTTCTGATGATTAATCGTTTTCATTTTTTTTTAGATATATCAAAACACGTGTATATCTTTCACACGTATATCTTCATATCTTACTTGAAATTTACATTTCTTTCTTTGAAGAAATACATCATTCCACAAGTAAAACACAAAAGCGAAGGTGAATAAAACGCTCAGTTTGAAAAAATACAATATTAGTATTAATGGTTACTATTTACAAGCTATACAAATTTACATTCACAGATATAAAATACCCACTGGTTATACATATCTTCAATAGTTTTGGTCGTACAAGAAAATGTAAATACATGACAGTCCGGCCCCTTCTTGCAAGAACGTGTGTCATGAGAGAAAAGAAAGAGCAATGGCGGAAGGTGGGAAGGGGAGGGGGGGGATAAAAATAAATAAATAAAAATAATAAAAAGGGTCAAGGGGGGATAAAAAAATAATAATAATAAGTTTTTACAGAGGGGAATGGGGGGGGGGTAATAAGGGGGAAGGGGGAAAGAAGAAAAAAAATATTTTTAATAGTGGGAAAGGGGGAATAGAAAAGGTGAGTATGATCCCATAAAGAGAGAGAAAAAAAAGAAAGAAAAGATTGAATCAGTGAGACTAGCGGGTGGGGGGGAGGGGGAAGGGGCATTTGTAAAGAAGAGAAAGAGGTAAAAAAAAGAGGAGGAATACAATAAAACAAAGAAATGAATGAAGGAAGGAAGAGGAGGAAAAACAGAAGCTTAGTATAAACACAAAACCTGATTTTAAAACAAGGAGAAAAAGTAAGAAATATCATACGGATCACAGACGCCATACACAGATAACAAAAATACAAAAAAAAAAAAGAGAGAAGAAAAGGGGCAAAAACAAAAACAAAAAAGTGACCTATGAACTTGAAGGTAATATCACACTCCCGCACCTGTGGAGTAGCCTACACACGTCTATTAAGAAAGTCAGTATTGCAGAACAGATCTTCGAAATTAGGAACATAAGAGAGTCGAGTATTGTGTGTGTGAGATCTCCGGCGTCGGCTCTTGAGGAAGTCGTTCGTAAGGTTCAAAATAAGACACTTAATATAAAGAGGTATAACCCTTATGGTGCACGGAATTAGGAGAGAGTGGAATAAGGAGGTGGGATGAAATGAAAAGGAGGAGGAGGAGGAGATAGAGGAGGAGGGGGGTGAGGAGGAGGAAAGGAGGAGAAGTGGAGGAGGAGGAGGAGGTGGAGAGGAGGAGGAAGAGGAGAAGGAAATGGAAGAGGAGGAGATGAGGAGGAGAAGGAGGAGGAGGAGGAGGAGGAGAAGGAGGAGGAGGAGGAAGAAAAGAGAAGAAGAAGAAGAGATGGAAAAGGAAAAGGCAAATGAGAAGGGAACAGCCGAAATGGAAGATGATCCTTACGAACGACTCCTTCAAAACGCCGACGAATAACAGCATTCAGCACAAGTGTCGATCCGAGTCAGTATCCCAAGAACAGGCGGGAGAACAAGCCAAGGAACAAAGAACAAAAAAAGAAAGAGACAATACGCACACACGGGAAAAGATAAAACAAAATAAATAAGAACAACACCAACAGTCCATGCCGCCCGCCCACTCACTGTCTCGGGACCACGGACTCGGCTCTCGGGTGGACTCTGGCGGCAACAACACTGACGAAACGAAGTGGCAAGAACGCGAAGTGTAGAGAAACGACGGGCCAGAAAGACACACTCCCTCTTACCAGAACACTTACAGAGGTAAATGAACGAATTGAACACCTAAGAACAGCGCACAATGTTGTAAGAAAATAAATCTACACTCATGAAGGCAGATGTCACGTTAGTTTATTACACTGAATAATTATTATTTATTATCATTCATTTATTTTTTATTCCTTTTTTTTTGTTTTGCTTTGTTTACATTTGTTAGACCACCGTGCAGAAAAGTTGATTATAGGCGCCAGGTACTCGTGGCTGGCGCTGAAGTCACGTGGCGCAGTGACAGAGGCAGCGAGACTCGTAGCGAAGAGAATCAAGCGAATTCCTGTGTACAAATGAAAACACAAATTCACACAGCTATCAACTCACCTGCAACCAGGTCAATGAGTTTGGGTCTCGACGTGTATTAATCATGGGAAATATAAACTTTACATATATGCCCCATGTATATATAAACTTCACATATATAATGGCTGCAAAAGATCGGTACACGTCGCACTATGTAGCCGTCCACATCTACTTTGGCGTCTTTCTACTGCAGAACATTTACACAGTCACATCGACCAGCCGAGCTCTCCGAAGCCGAGCTCTCCGAAGCCGAAGGGCCGCGCAGCAACAGACGCGGAGCCGAACTCGTCCTCTCGCGACATCTCATGCATTTCCGAGACAAGAGTCGGCAACAGCGGTTTCCAGATATAAATGTCAACTTCTTAAGTCGTGCCCCACAACCCGCCCATCTTTTAGCAAGAGAGGAGGAGGGAGGAGGGAGGGGGAGGGGAGAGGGGGGGCTAGGAGGAGGAAGGGGAAAGTTGTTGGGAGGAAAGTTTTAAGACACTTTCTCGCTTCACGCAACTTGCTTCCTCCCGCCACTGAAGCCTTCGATGCGGAGGGAAGCGAGGCAGAGAAAGGACACCCACCTCCAGGAGCGGCCCTCCGAGGCGTCGCTTCGGTTTTAATGTGGTTTTTCTTTTTCTTCTACCCTCCCCCCCCTCTCCCTCTCTCTCTCTCTCTCTCTCTCTCTCTCTCTCTCTCTCTCTCTCTCTCTCTCTCTCTCTTCTCTCTCTCTTCTCTCTTCTCTCTCTCTCTCTCTCTTTTCTTTTCCTTCCGCCCTTTTCTGTGGTCTTATTCGCTACGAACGTAATTTGCTCACTAACACTTCCCTACACAATGTGTTTTGGTCAAGTATCCTACAAAAATCTTCTATCACAATAGCGCAGTTGTGGATGTGATTACTCAGGGGGAGGAAGGGACGGGGGGGGGGGGGGGACGTTGTTGTCAAGCTACCAGGGGGAGGGGGGGGGTCAACGGGAGAGGAGGAGGAATCTATGACTTTTTGAAGATGAAAGAGGCGTCTTAATGATTCTTTACTTTCTCTAATTTCAATTTCAATATACAGTTTGCTTATTCTTGGAAGCTCAAATTTATGTTATTATTACAAGGGTTTCAGGCACATAGTCCCGCCGACAGGGAGATTAAGGTGGTTCATAAACACTTAATTATGCTAGTCTAACACCCTTTCATACCTTTTTTTAAACAAGGGTTTCAACTATAGTCATGTTCTTGTTCTTGTTCTTCCATCTGTGGTTTTACCTCTCTTAAGAATTATGCCCCAGTCTTTGCACGGTCTCTAGAGCAAATTGCACAGTTGCACCCTCTCTTTTGCAAAGAATCGGCGTGCAACATCAGATTCATTGACAACTCAGGAAGTGATCTATAGAGAGAAACCTCGTCTTCTACACTTGACATTGCCAGGCCTATATATATTTTTTTTCATCTTTAATTTTTACTGGATGTCGTAAGTATCATACCCTGTTATATCATCATTTTTTTTTTTTTTTACTTTACAATCTGCTTGAAAGAACTATATATGGTATTTACAGTTAGCTGCATTACGAGCAATAGATTTCCACTGAAGAAAAAAAAGGTTTCATTAGTAAATACATTATGCATTCGTGGAGTATGGCAATGAAGGGTTAAGTGTCTATAGTATTCAAACCTCACACATTTCAAAAGCAACGTTCTTGATTAGTGTTTCACAGAATGGTATGAAAAGTCTATGCAAACCAAGACAGCATCAAATTACAGATGATACTATATATATATTGTTTAGCTTTTCATTACATTTTTTTTCTGGCATTGGTAATAAAAATAGAATCAACAGAAATTTTAGTGACCAGCATTTTCTTCAATGCATCTGAAGGTCCAACGTTTCTCGCCGAAAAGTTTAGAGATTTTTGCCTCGTCTTGCATGCAATACATGCATCAAAAACGAAAAGAATAACACTCAATGTTTTCCATTCCAGAGATGACAATAATATTATGCAATTCACAACAGATGATTTTTTGCTAAATTATCTTTTTTGTCACAAATTGAAGCGTTTACTAGAAACTGTCACCATGCAATATATATAATGTGTTTGTGAAGGAACAATCAAAAGGTGAAATGCACATCACCGAGACATAAAAATGGTCGAATCACTGTATCCAATCACATATTCAACTCATAAATATTTCTTTTTACTAAAAACCACTTCTTAAAAATTATATATGTATATATATATTCATCTATTATTTTACACAAAAAAATCGCATATAAACTCCACAACGATGATTCATATTTCTTTCACACAGAGTCCTCATCGGATAAAATGTCCCTCAAAACACACAAAAGCGAAATATACAAAATCAGGCACTGTAATATAGCAGACCAAGAGCTACTACTGAGGTTTAGTGGGGCTGCCCGAGGCGGCCGGCCCGCGCGCCGCCCGCCGGCAGGACGCGGGCAGAAGCCGCGGCGACGGGAGGTCCTCGCGGGCCTCGCCTCCCGTCCAAACTGTCTCCTGGCACGTCTCAGGAGTCCCTTGTACCCAGGAGGAAATATATATATGTTTGGAGGAATATATATATTTAGGATCCTAGCTTGAAGGAACCACACAACCTCTTCGCGAAGGAATCACAAGCACGAGGGAGTGTCCAGCGCGGAAGGGTCCTTCAAGCCGCGCCCTGGCAGAGCGGCCGGCCCTTCGCAGCGGCCGCACCGGTCAGAATACACACACTAGCCAGGGGCCTTCGAGCGCCCCTCGGTCGGGTTAGCGGTCCTTTCCACAGCAGAAAATAAATGCTATTCACTCCCCACTACGAGCGTGAAGGGAAATGCTTATACCGAGTATGTGTCCTATTCTCCTTCCTAAAACAACGGGTTTTCACAGCGCGATTTATTCTTTCTTAAATACGAATACTATGGGAACTTTTGTCTCGCCGACGTCCCTCTCCGCAGTTCCTCTCGCCGGCGCC